GCTGCTTTAGCTCAGGCAATGTACCAGTGAAAAAAAAAAGGGTTTTATTCTAACCTCTACGCTTGTGGGATTTAGAAAAGAATCACAGGACCTAGATTCATCCTGCTGTTGCAGAGAAGCCCTTTAGAACCCCATTTGCTGAGAATCCTCAAACACAGCCTACTGAAAAAACAAACCACCAAACCACAACAGGCACAAATCAGCCAGTCATGGACTCTTATTTTATCTTGCCTTGCAGGTCAGTTCTTGAACCACGAAGTTAAACTTCTTCAGGAATCTCTAAACGCAAGTCATCAGCAGGTTGGTCAGAATCACACTGAAGTGTTAAAGCCAAACCCTACAAATACCCTGAAGGTGAAGGGACGGCTCATTCCTGTGGTGTGGAAGCAGAGGAGGATCTACAATGGCCAGCAGGAGGTTGAATGCTGGTTTGCCAAAAACAATGCAGACAAACTGATTGATGGGAGCTATAAGGACTATTTGGCTTCTCACCCTTTCGACACAGGGACCAGCTTTGGGACAACTAACAGCCTTTAAGACCAGTCCTAACAATGCATTGCAGCAGGATGTGTGACAGCAGGTCCCTTCTGAAGCCTCTACTAGGCCATTTAATGAATATTTCTTTACTTTTTGGTGCCAAAGAAACTAAGGACTTTGCCCTTGGAAATCAGCTGTCTCTCTTTCATGTGAGATGAACACTGTTCATCAAATTCCTGAAGAACAAGGAGGTTGGGGGGAGGGTTGAGGACATGGTTAAAGGCATGACTGGTGATCTCCCAGTGGGAAGGGAGGGAGAAATGGGCCAGCACTCATATTGGACAGAGCAGAGAGCTGCTGACCTTTGAGTAAACCCATGCAGGGATCTGTGCAATTCACCCAAGAGGCTGGTGAGTCACCCCATGAGAGGCAGAGGTCATACAGCACAATGCCTATTGAGGTGATATGCTTTGCACAGAAGTGACTTGGAGCACCTGCTCCAACCTTGGTCCATGGGGAAAGAAAAGAGAGAGAGAAGAGGTGGGTGGATATTCATCTGCAGTGCCTCCCTAGCATCAAACAGGTAACAAAACCAAAGCCTTAAATCAACAGGCCACAGGAGGGTATTGCTTTCCTGGTTATTGGGATGAGGTCTGGATTTATCACTGAGCATAAGTTTCCCTGAACCACTACAGACTCTTAAAACAGTGGTGAAAACCTTCATGTGGTTTATTGCTGTCTCAGGGCACAGCCTGACTGCTTAAAAAGCACCTCCAGTCTTCAGCAGCAACAGGTTCCCATTCCATGGAGCAGCTAATTCAACGTAATTCAGTTTAAATATCATTGCAGGATTAGTGATTTCGTGAGTCTTGACTCCCTCAGAGAGAAACAAAGTTCCACCATGAGCTTCCAACAGACCTGCCACATCCTTGAGCATCTCATCACTTCTGTTTAGCAAAGATTTAAATTCTCCAAGGGATGATGAACCAGAACCCACAACAGCTTATGAGTCTACAAAGCAGCCTCTTCAATTTAGACTAGATGTTTCTAGCTGCTTTTCTAATCAGGGAGGAAGTCTTTATTTATTCCAAATTGTAAAAAAAAAAATTCATCCCTGGCTCCTTTCTCCTCCCTTACGCTGCAGGAATTTGCACGCAGCAGGAATTTGGCAGCAGGAGGTTACAGAAGGGTCTGCCAGCCACCCCCACTGCAGGTGGTGCTGCTCTGCAAAGAAACCTGCAGACCCACACTGCAAGGCTGTGGTCTATTTTAAAGTGAGGCATCACTGAGCAATGCTATAGATCAGTCACAGGGGCATTCTAGTAGAGAACTCGTCCAAAGAGGACTTGACAACCACAAAGACATTCGCAGGGCAAGGCCAAACTGAGCTTATGTATGCTCTGCCTTTCCAGAACTGAAAGGAAGGAGGGAGGGTGTAGAAGCATCTCCAGAAATTAAATTAGATCCATGTGTTAGGAGAAAACAGAGTTGCCAGAGACCTGCAGAAATAGATTCAATCTTGACTGATTTTTTTGCATATTTAACAATTAAACCATAGTGTTGCTGTAGGAGATCCAGCTGCTGGGGGTGGGGTGGTGATTTTCCAGTTGCTTGAGCAACTAGTTAGTGCTACTAGACCGTGGCAGCAGAGCAGGTGGCAAGCATGGTTTCTTATTCACACCATGTCCTGCCTGGAAGAGGGAAACAGCCAAAACCAACCAGCAAGATTTAATTGCACTCTGGAAGATCCTTACAGTACAAAACTCATGCCAAGGCTCGTACTTTGGAACAAAACATAAAGGAAAAAAACTACTGCTTTGGGCCCTGCTATTTTGAGAAATAGCTCTCCTGCAAGGGAGAACCGAAGGCAGGACCTTCAGTGCAGTCCTGAGTGTGGAATAATGAAAGATGTTTAATGCTCTGCAGTGGGCTCATGGGCCAGAAATGAGATGAGAAAGAACACCTGTGAAGTTGACTTTTCCACCCAAGAAGACAGCAGGAAGATCACCTACAGCCCATATCCAAACAACCTCCCATTCCACTGGCAGGGGAGAACAGGATGGTGGCAATGAATTTCTATACAGTCCAGGGTTCAGCAGGTGTCTTCATACTGTCCTTACTGAAAAGAGATTTCTTTGAAATCTTTCCTCTCCTCCCACATTTTGCTGTTCAGTCATATTGCTAAGGGGAGCAGTTGGCTTGGGCTCTCCTCTCCTGTATATAGATATGTATATAATATATATATACACACACACACACGCTTATTGCTAATGATTCAGGTGCATCTTTACTCCTCCTTCTCCTCCTCCTGCCAAGGAAACATATTTCTTTCAGGGCCTGAAGATAACAATGATCAAGTCCAACTTCTCAGCGATCTGAAGCACCTGGAGCACTATACTCAAGTTCTAATTAAGGCTCCAGTTATCCATTTCACAATAAATATTTTACAGTGAATGCTGCAGTGACGCTTTCATTTGGCAAAGACAAAAGAATTCTGAAGCTGAGGTTATGTATGTTTTATGCTGCTGGACAAGCTCGTGTTTCCAGATGGCTGAAAGAATCAGTCACAATAGGTTGGGAGCCAAAGTAATTTCAATGGAAAATTAGAGGTCAATGATGTTTTTCAGCCTCCATATACTTGGCAGAAAGCAATAAGTGTGTTGGTTGAAGTAAAATAAGAATTTAACCACGTAGACTGATCCAGCCTTTAAATACAGTAGCCTAGGACATGGGAAAACAGTTTGTGCTCCCGCTGCACATACAGACATGCACTTGTTCTCATCTCCAACAGTGTCACAGAGCACTTGGTTTTGCAGTGACACAGCCACAGATTGCACATTGCTCAGACAGCTCAGGAATGAGGCTGAGCAACCACTTTGCAGTGCAATGGAAACAACTGCACACCATCATTTCAGAGAAGGGAACAGGACTCCTGAACTTAGGGTTGCTGAAACAGCAGTGACTACACAATGCTTGAGAGGGACAACCTTTCCCATCTTCCTTGCCCTGCTATTGCCTACTGTGAACTTTCTCAGGCAGCCTGAACTAAGGGCTAAGATGAAGATCCTGTCACTCACCTCTATTTTAGGACAAGGACTTGGCTGTGGCCAAATCTGCACTCTCCACGTGCTGCAGCATTGCACTGTGCAGCCCTATAGCAAGAACAAATCCCCAAATACCAGTACACCTCAAAACAGAGCAACTTTCAAATAGGGAAGCTGTTTTAATCTATTTCCAGTCAAGACATGACACAGCACAGGACTTACTCCAGCCCTTAGCAGTGCAGAACTCCCCAGACAAGCAGAAGTTGCACTGCGAAACCAATTTCACTAAGCAATATAAATGATCTATTCAGAGGGCTGTGTGCCATGTGTTCCAAAAACCTTTTGATGTGCCAGCAAAAGTAGGATTTTGACCCTTCATTAAGAAAGAAAAACAAAAAGAACTTAATTTCCAGAAAAACAGTATAAAGCTGCACAGCTGCAAGTGTAGCCAAGCATGTCTAGTTCACTGAAGGGCACGCAAGGCTTTGATTTGCATCTAAGGCTTCTAAACTACTTTGAAGTTAAGGAAAAAAGAACAACAAACCAAACCCCAAAAAATCCCCACCAAATATCTTCACAGGCTTGAGCTCAGCCTTTAAAAGTCTAAATCCATCTAAGTTAGAAAACCCAAATCCTTTAATTTCTACTCCTTAATAAGGAGTGTTTTCTTGGGCAAATGCAAAGGAAGAAGAGAAAATAAAAGATCAATCCCACCCATCCCTTATGGGGACTGCCTTGCAATAAGCAAAGCTGTCTACAGCTCAACTAGGGATACCAGTTCAGTTCAGTGGATCCTGGGTCAGGTCCTGCTCTGAGGAATATCCACCCTTCGGACTCTGTGTGGGTCTCACCACAGCTGTGTATCTGCACCCAGCCTGGGGGTGGCTTATGCAGCTGCTCTGTGCTCACTCCCTCCCCAGGACAGCTGCAAAGTGTTTTGCATTTTTGTGTTTACAGACAAATACAGTACGTTAACAGGAGAGGAAGGGCAAAGCCCTGCACTTCACACTTGAAACAAAAAGTGCCAGACCTGGGATGACCCAGGGTCTTCTCCTGCAGCAGTCCTATCCAAGGCCATTCCCTTACCTCCAGAAAATCAGGGCTGGCTAATGGGGCTTCAGTTAACAGTGCACATCCAGTTTGAATCAGGTCCTGCAGAGATTTCATATGTTTATTTTACACCAGGTAAAAAGGAGTCAACTTTCAGTAAACACTCACTTGTAAGGTGGCAACTGGGATCCACCTCCAGGTCTGTTGATGCACCAGGTCTTTCCACTGAAGCAGCTCATACAACTCATCCAAGAAACCAAGCACTGTGGCTCAGCTCTTCATTTGCAGCTTTACTAGGACAGCCGTGCTGCAGAAAGATAATCCTCCCTGGTCAGGAAAGATTTCAACAGCCCCCCCTTCCTCCTCTTCACAGCATTAGGGTTTTGCAGAGAATATTGAGCACATGAAGTCATTTCATTTATGAGGCAATTTTAGGTCAAATATTTATTGTATTCCTTATAAAACAGTAAAAAATAATCAGATCCACTGAGACAATCTTCCCAATTCAAGACATTTAAATACATATTGCAAACCAATTCTTTTGAGCATTGTGCATATAAAAAGTGTCACAGTTCAGGTAGCAGAGAATAGTCTTTTTTTTCTTTTTCTATAAAAAAGCAAACAATCTTGATTTCTTTCTCTAGCCTTGACAAAAAAAAGTCACACCCAGCTGGCCAGCCAGGAAAAGTACATATTCATACCCCAATCTCAACATGCCTGCGTGTGTACAGATTAGGGGAACACAGGGAAAGCAGATACTGCTCAAGCCTGTACAGGATGCACGGATAACATCCCAGAAACAACTGCAGGACAGGTCTAGACGAGGCAGGCAAAAGGATCTCTGCAGATCCACAGGGATCAACTAGCATTCCCCACCCTGCCCTTCCTTGGCCAGCCCAAGGATCACAGTGCTGCTCCTTCCTCCACCTCCCTTGTCCCAGTGTTGTCAGATGACCACTTGATAGCTGGGCTGCTTCATCTTCTGGTTGGTTCCATGGAGTCCTGAGGTGTCCTGGTCGCTTTCAGACTGATCAAAATCCATGTCTGGAGAGAGCAACACCTAGAAAGGAGAACAGACAGATGTTGATGGAGCGAAAGTTCTCAGATCTTCTCAATGCTGCTTGCTGAAGGGATCAAGCACCCCTGGAGGGGTCTGCTGCCAGATCCAATCCTCTCTGGCAGATGGGTAAGGTCTCAGGGTCATCCAGACCATCTTTCCAACAACAGACAAAAAGATCTGGGCACAGACACCACGATGATGTGGTGACCCAGCCCCCTCCTGAACAGCAGAACAGGCAGCTAAAGGCTCCATTCCCTATGGGACAGGACTCACACATAGACATGGATGTTCAGGCCAGGCTACAGCCTCAGTGGAGATGTAAAAAACCAAGGCCACATATTTTGTGAACAGCTGTACCACATGTAGACCTTTTCCCAGGCCCCCAGCTGCTTGTCATCTCCGGAGCTCAGCTAGAAGAGCAAGCAGAGCTACAGGGTTAGCTTCAGCCATAGCCAGCAAGCTTAGAAGTGATGTCCTCAACCTGGTAGCACCTTATTTCTACCTGGCACAGAGGCTCCTGGCCCAGTCTGGACTGTGGGAGCCAAAACAGAGCACTGACACCTCTCACAAGTACCTCTCCAGGTAAGAAAGCTCAGTTTGCTGCAGGACCAGAAGGCTGCCCTTTGCCCCCAGGGACACCTCACTCTCAGGAGCCAATTCCACACTTGAAGCTACCACGGGTTGTTTTGAGCCATCTGCCACCAGCCCAGAGTGCCTGAACGATGCAGATGGAGCCACGTGCAGGCATCCTCCAGCCACATCATCTGGGAGAGGAGAAAGGCTGGATTTTACTCAGGCAGTGGCTGCACTGACTGCAGAAGAGCTGAAACCCAACACCAGCCAGAAGTTTGCATGGGTAACATTCATGGCTTGACTGATTAGAATCATTGAATCATCAAGGTTGAAAAAGACCTCCAAGACTGAGTCCAACCCTTAACCCAGGACTGCTGAGTCCACTACTAAACCACAGAATCATAGAATCAGCCGGGTTGGGAGGGATCTCTGAGATCATCAAGTCCAACCCTTGATCCACTACCACCATGGTTACTAGACTATGGCACTCAGAGCAACATCCAGCCTCAGCTTAAAAACCTCCAGGGACGGGGAATCCACCACTTCCCTGGGCAGCCCATTCCAATGGCTGATTACCCTCTCTGTAAAGAACTTCTTCCTAATATCTAACCTAAACCTCCCCTGACAGAGCTTAAGACCATGCCCTCTTGTCTTGCTGATCGCTGCCTGGGAGAAGAGACCAACCCCCACCTGGCTACAACCTCCTGTCAGGGAGTTGCAGAGAGTGAGGAGGTCTCCCCTGAGCCTCCTCTTCTCCAGGCTAAACAGCCCCAGCTCCCTCAGCCTCCCCTCATAGGACTTGTGCTTGAGTCCCTTCATCAGCCTCGTTGCTCTTCTCTGGACCTGCTCCAGCACCTCAATATCCTTCCTGAACTGAGGGCCCAGTACTGGACACAGCACTTGAGGTGTGGCCTCACCAGCACTGAGTACAGGCCCTGAGCATCACATCTACACGTTTTCTGAACACTTCCAGGGATGATGATTCCATCACTTTCCTGGGCAGCCTGTTCCAGTGCCTGACCATCCTTTCAGTAAAGAAATTTTCCCTAATATCCAATCTAAACCTCCTCTGGTGCAATTTGAGGCTGTTCCTTCTTGTCCTATCACTTGTTTCATGGGATAAGAGACTGACCCTCACCTGGATACAACCTCTTTTAGGGTTGTTATAGAAAGGAATAAGGGCCCCCCTGGGCCTCCTTTACTCCAGGCTACGCCACCTCCAGTTCCTTCAGCTTCTCCTCCTCAGACTCATGCTCCAGACCAGACTGTTTGTTCAACTCTATCCTACCCCTTTCTCCTTTCCTCAAACACTGTGCCTGACTGAACAGCCTTCCAGCTCAAAAGCACAAGGGATATGGTAAATGGGCTTTCTGCCCACACACAGAACATCCCCAACAGCTCAACCAGTCCCAGAGCCCAGTATTCCTGGGGCAAAACCAGGAGCATGGGGGAATTACTCTTATCTCTGTCTATCCCCATGCACAGCTGTGAATTCACGTGCCCTCCACTCGTCAGCACTCAGGCAGCACCACAGGGCCAGTCACCACAGCAACAAAACCACTAAACAGGAAACACAAAACTCCAATGAGTCAGTGACTTCAAAGGAGCAGAAGAGACCGCAGGGGAAGGTTTCCTCCTCCCCACCCTCACGCACACTCCAGCCCCTCCATCCCATGTTGTTGTCCTCAGTCAGGCACTCAAAGGACAGCAGTAGACAGGATTAAGCTCTCTTGTTGTCCCCCCCTCCACTGGTCTCAAGGAATTGTTTTTTGATTCAAGACACACACTGGAAAGTTTCCATCTCTCTCACGTGAAGATTTCCTGTTTATCGTATTAATACTGTGGTGCTGTTGAACCTGAGAAAATGGGTGGGTAATTAGTCACACACAGCATCATAAGCTCACTGAACTGACAGGCTGCAACAGGCTGGTTGTGAGGCCTAATGAACTGGTGATTTGGGTGGGTTTCAGTGGAAAACTCAAAACTCCTTGCAGCCAAGCATGGATGGAGATGGAGCAGGCACTGAGTGTTGTGCATTCAGACCCCTTCAGGTCCCCCACTATACACTTGCAGGAAGCTGCACGAGCCAACAGTCTCCAGTAATATTTCCACAATTCCCTGGGAAAGCATCATGACAAGATGGCACCTCATTGCTGTGACAGTCACGGGACATCCCCTCAGATGTAATTTTCAAGCCTAAATCCAATTTGGGAGTCTTCAGCACAACTTGGACGAGGCTCTTCCCCTGCAGATGTGTCCAGGTCAGGATCACAGTGGGTCCATGGCACAGCTGGGAATGGGCTGTGGTGTCCCAGTCCCGAGACAATGTGCTGCTGTCTCACTCAGCAGTCCCCAAATACTTCCCACATTTCTCCCCACACCAGGCAGCCAGCAGCTCCCAAAACATGGGTCACACTACTGAAACAGGGCTGTGCACACATGCTGCCAATCCCTCCTGGCCAGGAGAAGATGCTGCCCACTGGTTCAGTACTGCATACCAGTATGCTACTGGTTTAGTACTCCATCCTTTTGGATAACCAAACCACCTTAGTGGCAGAAGAAGAGAGGAACTGTGGCATAGGTTGTAAAACAAAGCAGCTCTGGGACCACTTCCCCACTAACCATGGAAACCTGTTTGCCCAAAGCTCCACCAGTCTGGTGCAGAATCACAGAACCATTAGGGTTGGAAAAGACCCAACCATTAACCCAGAACTACCAAGTCTACCACTAAACCATATCCCCAAGTGCCACACCCACCAGCCTTCTGAACACCTACGGAGATGGTGACTCCACCACTTCCCTGGGCAGTCTATTCCAATGTCCAGAGTAGGGACCATCCGTCCCACCATCCTCCTTAGAGGATCTGAGCTTAGGTGAGTTGCTACAACTCAGCAGGACTGGCAGGTGGGATGGTTTCCTTCCAAAGGCAACTCTATGCCCACCTTTATTTATCTTCCCTGTAAGGATCAGGTACCTAAGTTCACCACGAGTTTGAGCTGATTAAAAATCAGTTCAGCTGAGCAACAGCCAAATCAAACTTGCTCTTGGAATATTCTTCAATACTTATATGCAAGCAGCATTGTATTGGCATTTATCAGCATCTGCAGTCTAGTGAATACCAGAAGTCACAGCTCCTATGAAGGGAATCAGGACAGGTGCTGAGCTCCATGCTGACCAAAGGCAGGTCCCCATGTATTAGTATTAGCTTTCCTCCCAAACTTAAAGTATTAAACTTTTGCTTTAAGGCTTGTCTCTGAAAATGTAAGCCTTCAGGAAAGGAACAGAAACTCATCCACCTCCCTTGGGGAAAAAGAAAGAACCAACAACAAGGAAAAAAAAAAACAAACTCAAAAAAGATCAAATAAAACATTATTAAAACTGACTGTTTTCCTGAGTTGAGGAAACAAAGAAACCACTGATAAGATCTAAAGTTTATTGGGACTTGCAAGGGCAAGGGAAAAGAGACTTGGGTCAAGGGCAGGACACATACAAAGCAGAAACAAGGGCCTTGCAGATGAATGCATTTCCTCAGCCTGAACAGCACTGGATGCAGACTGGCACTCAAGAAAGATATTTTTCTATCCCATAAGAAGGCAAAAGAAGGACTCCATGAACATTTACAAGGCAGGGCACAAGTCTGAAACAACGTAAAGCTTAAGACTGACATGGAAGGAAGAAAGGAAAGGAAGATGAAACTCTTCCAACCATAGGAGGGACTTTGTCCCTTTCAGGGTTTCAGTGCAAAAAAAAGCTCAGCATTTGCTCCATTATAAACAAGAGCCCACTCTCTGGCTCACCAGAGCAGCCTTAAAGCCCAGCAGAGGCTGCCACTTCTCTGGTGTGCTCTGCAGCCACAGAGTCAGTAAATGACACCAGAGGCAGGACTGCTGGTTGGTGGGTTTCTTCCTGCTGCCCATCTGGTCAACCAAGCCAAGGACAAAGCTGAGTTTTCCTGCTCTCCCTACAGAAAATACTCAGTGTGGGTTTTTAACAGGTTAACTTCAGCCCCCACTTTCCATTCTCCTTCCTATCTCCCCACCCCTCCTTTTGCAAACACAAACTGCTGGTTGGAGTGAAAATAATGACACTCCATTGGTGAGACAGGCAGAGGGCTGAAATTCAAGCCTGCAGCGTGATGGGGAGCTGGTGGCGCCTGCTGAGAGACAGCTCTGATGAACCCTGATAAACCATGGGACACATGACCCACAGCCAGCCCTGCCCCACACACAGACACTGCTCAGCCCCCCTTCCTCCTCCACTGGGCAGCAGGGAGAGGAGAAATTCCCCCACTGAAACAGGTTATTAGCAGCAACAAGCCCAGCAAATGCTCGTTTTCTGCTTTCAAGCCTAAATTCCAGTCAATCCAGGTGCAGGACTCAGCCAGCCAACATGATCTTTAATTCACAGCTTAAGAAGCTGACACATGAAGCACGAGTCTATGGCTATACCTCAAGGCCCAGTGCCAAGAAAGAGCTGGAAAACAGGTCACCCACTGCTGTGTTTCTTCACTAACTTCCTCCTCTGCCCAAACTATTTGTCGGGCCAGAGGCACAGGAACATGCCTGAGCAGAGAGGAAGCAATCCCTGCAGACTGCCTCAGGTAAAAAATGGTCCCCTTGGCAGCTCCACTGCAGTGACGGATCAGAGGGTTTCAGGATGGACAAATAACCTGGACATTGAAGATCTCAGCAAAAATTTGCCTCACAAAAGTAGTCACATACTCAGAAGATTGGAAAAGCCTTTGAAAGAAAGTCAGAACTGTTTCTGTCAACTTGAAACAACCTGTCTTCGCTGAGCTGCCAGAAGAGTCTTTCCTAGCTTCTGGAAATAAACAGGATCTCCCCTTTGGGTTATCCAAAACTGAGCTGGAGGTCACAAAACGCTTGCCCCCTACCCCAGTGGAAGAAGGCAGAGATCCAGCTCCATTTCCATGAAGGACTAGTAATTGCAACACCCTCTGTGTATCCACAGCAGCCACTAAATGGGACTAAATGCAGCAAGTTTAGGTTCGAAAGGCAGGAAAGGATGTTGGTTTCTCAACTAGAGATGTCACCTCCTTACCTTTGCTTCTGAGCTGGTGTGATTTTAACTGATCTTAAACCCTCAGGAACACACCAGCACATCCAGGCAGCACAGCAGGTCTTTACCAACAGTGACCTCGCCAGGCTGTAACTGTTTATCTGGAGGCAGG